TCCAGGTCACTGCCCCTCCCTGCCACTTTAGAGCTGTGCCTCTGTCTTCCACCAGGCTGGGTGGGTGGAAGGATGGATGGATGGATGGATAAATGGGTAGATGGATGGATGGTGGATATAAGGATGGGTGGATGGATGGATGATGGGTCGGTTGATTGGTGGATGGACAGATGGATGGGTTAAGTGGATGGATGGAGAATTACAGTGCCATTCTCGCAAGCATACAAAAGGTAAATACATGTATTTATTTTATCAGCGATTATAATAAATGAATGCATGAAATTTCTATCCCGCACCCAGCCTGCCCAAGGCGTGAGATCTCCCAGGAATTCCCACCTTTGCCGTCAGTCCTCCCTGTGTGCACCCCACGAAACTTTCCATCCATTCTTCACCTTTGAGCCCCTCAGACGAGAGCACGACAGAATAAGCACCTGGTGAGGCACTGGTTTTGGCGCCTCTTGCAGCCCTCGCCGGAGAGTGGTGCCCGCCCTCCCCCCCGTCCGCGCAGGGCTGTGTGGCTCTTTGGACCAACCGTCCACTGTGTCCCTTCAGTGGGTCCTGATGGCCGTTGTGGGAGCCCATTTGGCAGACGGGGACACCAAGGCTGGGGAGAAGCAGGGGCCAATCCTGGGTTCCCACGATCAATCGTGAGACAACAGAAGTGGCCAAGGCAGTGGTGGAACCAGCGGGTCCAAATCCAACACGAGCATGATCTCTTTTCTCACCCAAATGCTGCCCTCCCCGCAGCCCCAGAGGGAGGCGCACACACATGCAGCCCAGCCCGGGGGGCTCAGGCACGAGTGTGGGTCACCCTGGCATTCCAGTTATTGCCGTCTGAGAAGGACGGGGTCGGCCCTGGACTGTGGCCCGGGCAAGGTCACCTCCAATGGGTGGGCACTAATTACAGACATGCTTGTTCACCTTACTGAGTCCTTCAAGCCCTGGGGACGCAGGTGGTTTCCGAACCTGCCGAGGGGTTCAAAGGCCCACCCTGAGCAGCTGAAGCTCCGTCGAAGCTCTCTCCCCGAGAGAGCCGCCCGGGGCCGGGACTCGGGGGCCCAGGCCGTGGGTCCTTGGTTTGTTGGCTTCCCACGGCAGGGCCGCCTCCGTCCCGGGCAGGGGCCACCTGCCGCCTGTCCTGTCGGCTCCGCGCAGGTGCAGGTGACCGGCTGGCCACTCCCCAGTTTATCCAGCACCTTCGAGGCTGCCAAATACGGACCTCCAGCAATCTGGGTGTTGCCATGTTGTCAACTGTTTTTTTTTTGTTTTGTTTTGTTTTGTTTTTTACCATTTTATCCACTTCTAAGTGTGCAAGTTCATGGCCTTAAGAATTTTCACAGTCTTGCGTGACCACCACCACTATCTACCCCAGTACTGTCCCTCTTCCCAAAAGGAAGCTCTGCCCCATCGGACACCACCTCCGCGTCCTCTTCCTCCCTGGACCCGGCGCCCACCACCCACCCTGCCTCTCCGGATGAGACTCCTCTCTCTGGTGCGAATGGAGTCACCCAGCATCTGTCCTGCGTCTGGCTTCTGTCACGGAGCATCGTGTCCTTGGGGTCATCCATGTGGAGGCGGGTGTCAGCGTTCTTTCTTCTTTAAGGCTGACGACTGTTCCCCCATGGAGATGGACCACACTTTGCCCCTCCAACCGTCAGGGACCCATGGGATGCCGCCTCCTGATTATTGCAAACACACAGCTGCAGACACACAGCTGCGAACGCGGGTGAGCCCCTATCTGTTGGCGTCCTTGCTTCCAGGTCACTCGGGCATATCCCCAGAGCGGACTTGCTAGGTTACATGCCTGTTCTTCGTGTGACTTTTCGAGCCGCTGTTTTCCGCTTCCCACAGCAGCTGCCCCATTCACATCCCTGTTCCTGCATGCCCTTGACCCAAAGTCCCAGAGCCTCGAAAGCAAAGACCTTGCTCCAATCCCTGCGCCCTGCGTCCTCCCCTCCCTTGCCCCCTGGCCAGGCAGGTGGGGGTGACAACAAAGGCAGGAGAGGACAGCAGGCTGTCATCACTGGAGCCTCTGGGGTCCCCGTCCTGGCTCAGACGACATCTTATGGGGCTGCAGGTGCCAGTCTCTGCCCATTTCAGGCCTACGCGGGAGGGTCCAGGCCAAAAGTGAAGGGTGCCAGGTTCACGAGGCTCCACCCCCATCCCGATTTCCCTTTCCAGGGGGTCCTACCTGCACACCCACCGCCCCACCTCCACAAGACCCCCAGGAGCCTTGCCTCTGCCAAGAAGAGGAGACAAGGCAGTGACACGAGAGCTGTTGGGTTCATGGAAGATTTGGGACCTCCTCAGTGTCCCTGGGGTCACAGACCTCCACCCGCTCAGCCCTGCCCTGGTGGGCGGGGCGGTGTGATAAAGCCCTGGGCGTGGACAGGGATACTCCAGGGGGGCCAAGGCAAGAGTCACACCCCGGGGCAGAGCCCCACCAGCCTCGCAGTCCTGCAGACATGGGACCTAGATGGAGGGAACCCAGGGAGACCAGTGAGGTGGGCGGCCTGGCTCCTTGCATGGTGGGGGGGCACTAGGGGCCTGCTGGGGACCAGACCAGGCATCGCAGCTCGGGAGGCAGTGCCTGTGACTGGCCCTCAACCCCCCCACCCAGGAGCTGCATCCCTTCAGACACACCCCGCCTCCCCCCGAGTCTTGTTTCCCACCTGTGCGGTGGGCAGCACCTCAGGACGTGCCACACAGAGCAAGTGACCCCCGCCCCAGGGTGCGCTGGGGCACAAGGCCATCCCCCCAGTCCCTGCAGCGACTGGGCGATGGGGCTGGATTCCACCGCATTTACCTACGAGCTTTCAAACTGACCTTCAATCCTTCTTCCCTTCTGGGTTCATTCTCACAGCTTAGAAAACACTAAGCTGGCTGGGGAGAGGGTCTGGGGTTGAGAGGGAGAAAGGGATGGGGGTGCTTGTGCAGGTCTCCCTTTGAAACCGTCTGTAGCCCCATCCTTAGCACCCCAGGACCCCCCAAGGCCTGGTTCGATGGGCCTGGCATCACCCCTCGCAGCTGCTGCCCCCCTGAGCCCTTGCCAGGGGGGCCGAGGCTTTGGGTCTGGAGGTCTACCCCTTCCTTGTCAATTGACAGCAGTAGGGTCCCCCTCATTTGGGGGCCCACCCAAGTTGCCAGGCATCAAAGACTCCTATCCTCTGTACGAGGCAGCTGTAACTGAGTCCCACAGTCCGGGCAGCTTAAAGAAGAGGGATTCACTGTCTCCGGGTCCTGGAGGCTTCAAGTCCACGACTCGGGGCTCCCTCGTGTGGAGGCTGGGAGGGCCAGTCTGTGCCCGCCCTCGCACCAGCTGCAGCTGGTTTGCCAGCGATCTTGGCGTTCTCTGCAGCTTGTGAAGCTATCACCCTCTCTCCGCTTCCAAGTTCACAGGGTGACTCCCCATGTTCAAGTCTGTCTCCAAATTTCTCCATCTCCCAAGGACACAGTCATATTGGATCGGGGGCCACCCTGCCCCAGTGGACCTCTTCTCCACTTGAGTACATCCGCAATGACCCTATTTCCAAACAAGGCCACCTTCTGAGGTCCCGAGTAAGTCCCTCTAACGGAGGTGGGCCTTAGGAGATGCAACCCAAGGCGCAGCTCCCTCCTAACCCAGGCCCGAGGGGAAGCAGCTTGGGCCGCTGACCCGTCAGGACGGACCCGAGCACAGCCTGCCAGCTGCAGAAAACACATTCTCCTCTCCAATAGGTTTTAAATATTAACCCCTGGCGCCAGAGAGTCCCCCTTTTTCCCTAGGGAGCATCCGTCAATAGTGTCATAGTGAGGGCTGGGCGGGTGTAATCCTGCCGCACACTCCAACTACGTTCCTATGTCATTGGTGACACGGGAGCCACAATGGAACCAGCTTAATCCCACCCGGCATCCCTCCCCTGCACGCCTGTGAAGTCCAAGAAAAGTGAGCCACTGCCCATGCTCCATAGCTCTCACTCAGGGGACCCCACCGACCACCACTGTTGGGGGAGCAGGTGTCATGGGGGGCGCAGGGAAGGCACCCGGTCCAAGACGGAGCTTGGCCACCCACTGTCTCTGGCCCCGGGCAGGTCACGTCTCCTCCCCAAGCCTCCAGGTTCGCTTTCTTAGGCGAAGATGGTAAGCCTCAAGGCTTTGGCGGCAAGTTCGAGGATAGAGGAGTTCTGGGAGAGTCTTACCCGGCGTATGACACAGCTGCTCACGACCGCCCGCGGACCAGCACACCACTGCACGGCGGAGGGAGGTTTTCGGAGTTCTCAGCAGAGTAAACCAGTTTCTCCCTCTCCCTATCCCCCACAGCTATCCACCCCGCCCCCCGGCGTGTGCACACACACGTATGTACGGTCTAGCCGGAACAGGCACGTGCGCACGCAAACACACACACATTAGCCTCTTCTTTCCATGCACGCTAACCGTCTATTGGTTAAAAAAAAATAGCCACTTTCCAAACCGGGGATTAAAATGCATCTTTAGCTGGATTCCTCAGAACACAGTCTTACATCTTAAAACAGTGATTTGGCACAGACGCTGCTCCCATCACAGGCAAATATGTTTCAAGTAAAAACGCCAAGTGTCTCCCCGGCTGTGTTGTAATCTATTAAATAACAAAGTAGAATAAAATACTTTAATGTTTCGGTTACACAAACGCCCACACGTCCGACAGCCGAGCTGCAGGGAGGCTCCTCGGGCGGTTGGAAGCCCTTTGCGCCCGTTGGTTTTCCCCGTGGGCGAGGGGGGCGCCCGGCCAGCGGAAGCCCACGGGGGTGCGCACGGGAAGCAGCCCTCCCTCGGAGCCCCGGCTGCCTTCTGATCTGACCCCGTTTGAGAGAATCGGGGAGGGCTGGGCCTCCGAACACCAGCCCGGCAGAAGCAGGGGAGGGGCAGGGAAGTGGGGAGCTGTGCTGGGAAGCTGCAGGGCCAGGACAGCCAGCGGGGCCCACGGTCGCTCTGCACCTGCTGCTGGGAGCCTGGACGGCCTTCTCTGTGCCGGGCCTGGTGATCTACGCGCCGCCTCGCCAGCTCCGCTTCCTCGGCAGCCGTCGCTGCCGCCGGAACCGGGGGCCCTTGCCGGGGGGTCCGGGCCGCCCGCCCCGGAGCCCGGCCCCACTCTGCAGCAGCCGCACCATCTCGTGGTCCTTGTGGTCCAGCACGCGGGGCAGGAACAAGGAGGACTTCTGGGTGCGGCGCGTCTTGAAGCCCCTGCGGGGCCGGCCCTTGCCGTTCACGGACACATACCACAGTCTCTCGGTGCCGGGCTGGCGTTGCGCCCCGGGGCCTCCGGGCGCCGTGCGGTAGAGCCGCGAAGCGTACGTGTTGTAGCCGAGTTCGTGGATCCGCTCCACAAACTCACACTCGGCGTTGTAGCTCTCCTGCGGGGGCGGAAGGCCTCGGTCAGCCGCTGGGGAGGCCCCCCACGGAGGCTGGGGGCTGGGGGACCAACGGTCCTGTCGCCAGGCCTCCCTTCCCTCCTCCCTCCTGCCGGACACCCATGCCTCGGCCGCGCCCGTCCTCCCTCGAAGTCTGGGGAACTTGGCCCTCGGGGTTCAGCTCAAGGCTTCAGCTGTTCTCCAAGCCTTCCTGAAACCCCGGGGAGAGCCCTGCCCCCTTCCCTGGGCGCTGACTGGGGGTGGGGGGCGTCCCGGCACAGGGACGGGTGGCTGTCACAGCAGAGCAGAGACGGGCCTGCCCTGCATCTCTGCTGGAGGCGGGGACGTCGGCAGGACATCTGGACACAGATGGTGCCCCAGGCTGCTTTCAGAAACTGTACACGAGAAAGAGAAATGACCACCGATATGGCTGGGCTCTCGTGAGCCTGGCTTCTCCATGGCACTGGAGTTTAAGTCCCAACTCTGGGCCTTGATCTTGGAGAGGGGCTATCTTGGCCCCCACGGTCCTCACCCCACGCACATGGAGCCAAAGCCAGGAGCCCCGCCGGAAGCTGGGGGCACAGACACTGCTGTTGTCAGGGTGGCTCAGGGGTGCGGGCGCCCCACACAGTGGGGGGTAGAGGAGACTGCTGCCCGAAGAGGTGAATGGGGACTCTTGTGTGCATCTGGGACAGACTGGGAAGCGTGGGCTGGGCCTGGGTCTCTGCCTTCTCAGAGACAGGCATCCAAAGGGAGAGAGGCACAGACTCTTAACGGGCTTTGCACCAATGTCCCCTGGACCACCTGGTGGGGCGCCCCCAGATCAGGGGTGGTGCGTCTGACTTACACCAACCCAGGTCAGGCTTTGCATCTGAGCTGTAGGCAGGTGGGCAAGCCAAGTGCCCCCAAGGCTTCCCTCCTCACCCGGCGCCAGGGGGCAAGGCTGGGGGCCAGGGGATAATACGCAGAAGGAGCCTGAGATCCTCACGGTCTCCATCTGCAGAGGGAAAAGGGGGGGCTGCTACTGAGTGCAGGTGGCCCAAAAAGCCCCGGGCCCATTCTTAGGGGGACCCAGGCTGGTCGGGGCCAGACCCACAAATGGGACAGCATGTGGCCTAGCGGGACCATAGGGCACGTGATGGTCGAGCACTGCACATCTCTCTTTCCCTGATGACACGTAAGGGCAGAAGAAGGGGTGGGGGGGCTCCTGTTCAGCTGGAAGAGGGGGCTGCCTCTCCCTGGAACCTCAGCCCCGTCTGCTGTCCCAACCCTTGGGGGGTGCCCCGAATGCCCCGGGTCATGGTACAGGTGCTGCTGGCGAAGACCGGGCATGGGGTGGGGGGACCCCAAATCCCAGAGAGCCACAAGGTTGTTCCATCTGTGCTCAAGGCCTTGTACGTAGTGTGGGGACCAGGGGCCATCTGGGGGCGAGCGGGCGGGCTCAGGGCAGATCCCCATGCCAGACGGCTACGTTAGCATCTGGTCCCCACACTCAGCCATGCGGAAGTCAAGGACAGCGCAGGCTCTTGTCCCAGACCCTTCTGTCCTGTGGCTGAGGCCCAGGAACCAGGACGCCAGAGAGTGGGCTCTCTCGTTGTGGGACAACTGAAGGGACCCGGTCTCGTGAGCCTGTAAGAGTGAGGCATACAGGCCCTGCACAGGGGAGTCCTTGACCTTGGGGGAGGTCCTTGACCTTGGGGGAGATAGATCTGGCACCTTGGAGGGGCTCCTAGAGAGTCAAGATGACCAGGAGGAAGGTGTCAGCTCAGGACAGGGTCATAGGACCAGGGTCACAGGCCAGGGGATCCCAAGGGAGACTCACAGTGGCAACAGTTCCCAGTGCCTCTCTGGGTCCAGCTGTCCCACCCCAGACCCTGTGCCCCACAGGGCCTTCCCCCCAGCCGCTCCTGCCCACTGACACTCTGCTTGTACCACCTGCTGAAACTCCACTTGCCTCTGCCCGACCTCAGCCTTGGGGAGCCCATGCTGACTTCTCAGGCTCTGCAGCACTCGGAGCCACTCCAGAAAAGCCAGCCGGGGACGGTGTGCAGGAGGCTGGCCAGGCCGCCCCCGCAGCTGGTTCCGAACGCCGGGGACCGGGCAGGGGGTGTGCGGGGAGGGAAGGAAGGCGGTTGGCTGCAGGCAGTGAGTGTGATGCGATGAAGGTGTGAGGAGGCCTGCCGAGAGGCAACTTCCCAACGAGGGGACATTTAGGAGTCATTAGGGAGAGGTGGACCCTTCTGATGGGGGCATTTGGTCTGCACAAGGCAAGGAAGGGTGACCAGCACGGCCTGTTCCGGGAACCCAGCGAGGTTCCAGAGGCTGCAGTGGGAATGACGGTGGAAAGCAGGCAGAGAAGGCAGCCTGGGCAACTCCCCTGGGGGCCAACTTATGGGGGATGGGGAGCTCCTGGAGGCCACAATAGTGGATTCACTTCCGAGTAAGATCCCAAAAATGTACGCCTAGCGGAGAGTGCGACATATGGTAAATGCCGACGGTACTGGTGAATGAAGGAAAGATTGCCGGACGGACGGAAGGAAGGAAGGAGGGCAGGCAGGCAGGCAGGCCAGCGTAGTTAGTGCTAGTGACAGCAGCCACAGGTAGACTCCGACCCACGGGGATCCCCCAGGTCATGCTTTGTTCTGTACCCCAAAGCCCTGGGCAGCCCTGCACCCCCCACCCCAGAAGAGGTGTCAAAGTCCTTACACTTCTCCTCCTGATTCAGCCCTCACTGCCCAATCTGTGAACTTCCCCCATGTGGACGGGGGGCCTCCAGCAGCAGCAAGACTTGCACCTTCACTGCAAGAACAGAACTCCTCCCGGGGCCCCTCTCCATAAGGGACAGGGGTGTCTGTAGGTAGTCTAAGGCCATTTCAGGATCAGAAGTCCATTCTGCCCACTGGGCATCAGGGGTCCAGGACGGAGGCTTTTGGAAAGCCACAGTCTGCCTCAAGAAAAAGTCAGACCAGCCCTGGCCTGAGGGCTTGTCTTTATAAGCCGCAATCAGTGTTTGCAGACTCTGGGAGCATGTGCAGGAGATGCTGGGCACCAGAGGGTCCCTGGGTTCTATTAAGTGGCCCCCAGGTCAGAGAAAACCAATGGGTTCGCTCTGATTTTTGCATTTCCTTTAGCAAAAGAGAAAAACAAAATCTGTGATAAAATAAGGAGCTGAAAGGAGTGTTTTCCTGCAACTCTTGCCCGATGACACTTGGCCCAACTTCCAGACGGGCAGGGAGAGGCTGGCGTGTGTCCCCTGCAAACAGGCTGAATGGAGAGCGGGGACCGCCAGGAGATGGTCTCCGGCTGTGCTGTCTAGGTTCCTTGTGGATGGAAAACCTCTCATTGCTCGGGGAGGTATCAGCCGAATTGCACGTAATGACTAGTTGGGGGCAGCAAATTTCCTGCTTACACGCATTTTACTCCAGGCATCCCCACCCCTGCCATTGGGGGAAGGACATTGCCAATGCCTACAGAGTCACGGGACCCTTTTTCTGTTGTGGGGGCCCCCGGCGGTATACAGATTGGGTTCCTAATCTGTGTGCCTGGGACACGAGTCCTGTGTCCCTTCCACTATGTTGGGGCCTAAGAACTAAGAGTTCTTCCCTTTCCACCCTGGGGAGAACCGGCTGTGCGGTGTCCTCTTCCCTCTCCTCTCCCTCCCTCTGCTGAGCCCACAGAAAAGTTTTGCCCAACACACAGTCACGCTGTTCTCTAAGGCTCGCCGGGTCCATTTACACCAGTGGAAATTTGTCGGGGGACAATCTCTGCCTTGCTGTCAGCGACCTTGAGGGAAGGGCAGTGCTGGGGAAGAGAAAATGTTTGGAGGGGCATTTTCTGACCCAATGGCACTGGGGAACATAACACGAGTCTCACCCCCAGCGAGGTCCTCCCCGTGGGCCATGCTCCCAGCCAGCCCAACTGGCAGCTGCCTCCAAGAGAAGCCGCTGGAACGACACTGGGTGTCAACACCCAGGGCCTGAGACCCTGGTCCCAGCTGGCTGGTCCTGCAGGTCCTCATGCTGCTGGGTCAACGCATTATACTGTCCACGTCCCCTTTGTCCCCTGAGGAGAGGTCCAAGGGAGACGGCTGCCCCGTGCACGCCTGCCCACGGGAGAGGGCGGACTCACCGAAGCGTAGAGCCGCCCCCTCTTGTTCATGGCCAGGTACCGCCCGGAGAAGAGCCCCTTGATGGCCACGATGCCCACCTCCACCGCCGTCATCTCCAGGATACCTGGGAAGAGTTGTGAAAGCCCATCACTCCCCGTGCCTTCCACACAGCTCAGGGCGGAGAGCTGAGCCCCCAGGCTGGGCAACGCTCGGGGGGCAGGGGTGGCGGGGGAGGACACTTGAGAAGCTCAGGGAAGGCTTCTCCGAGGAGCAGAATTCAAACAGGGGAGGGAACTAATACAACTAACGCTTCTACGCCTGACCGCCAGGTGCTAACGCCTGGCAGGAGGTGAAGCTTATTGGAGCCTGTCGACCGCCTCGCAAGCCAGTTTCGTGACCTGATAGACGGGGGAAGATGAGACTGGGTGACTTTCCCAAGACCGCAGGGACGTGTGTGAGCTGGAATTCGAGCCTGGGCTGCACATAGCCATGCGGGAGCTCTCCGGGCAAGGCTGGGGCCCTGGATGGAGCTGGCGGATGACACAGTCCAAGCAGTGCAGTGAGCACTGGGCCACCCAAACTCACTGGTAATGGACTTGGGCAGGAGATAACTGTCCAGGGCAGGGTCCAGGCGGGATGCAGGAGCTGAGCAGGAAGTGGGATGAGACGCTGTAGCTCCCAGAAGGAAGCTGCTCTGGGCTCTCCCACTCCTCACTGCGTTTAAGGAAGTTTCAACCTCCCCTAACCTTCCTTCTGGACACAGGAGAGCTTTTTCACCGGCGGTCCTCCAACAAAGGCCTGAGGGGGGCCACTGTCCCCCCAGAAGGGCTCCAAGGGGGCACTGGAGCCTCTGCAATGCCGTCCTGGGGGGGGTGGCTCTCTGGGTGCAGCCCTGGCTTCCGCATGGCGGCGATCATAGGGCCCAGATGCGCCGCCACCAGGGGTCCGCCGGGAGGCAGGCTGGGTGGATTCTGAGGCCCCCACCCGGGCACCGGGAAGCGCGCCTCTGGATGCCCCGCAGGGGCAGCTGCGGATCGCACCCTCCTCCGCCTCCAGGCTGCCTGCCTGGGATACCCCGAGAATTTCCATGGTCTGTGACTCTGCGGGGGAGACTGGATTTGGAGGGAGAGCACCAGGTGTGGCTGTGAGAGTAGCGCGTGAGCTCCAGCAGCCCCATCTTGCGCAGGGGGACAGCCGCGACACAGCTTGTCCCCAACGCATGTATCCAGAGGCATCCTCCCACGACGTCCTCCCTGGAGCTGCGGCTTTCCTAGAGGAAGCGGCTGTTTCCCGCCGCCGCCTTCAGTCCACTGCATGGCTTCCTACCCGCGGGGTGCCGCAGAGGGACCAAGGACCTGACCAGGCTCCCACGCTGCCGCGCCGGAGCTCCGGCCTCCTGCTGCCCATCAAGCCGAGCTGCTCCGGTCCCCTTGCTTCGTGCTCCTCTCAGGGAGGCTGAGCACGAGCCAGGGTCCCCGCGGCGGGAGGAGCCCAACCCTGGAGCCCCGCGGGACCCCACGAGCACGGTTCGGGGCTGTGTGGGGCGGCGGGAGCATACCTGTGTCCCCGACCCAGGCCTAACCGGTATCCCGCGGCCCCCACCCCGAAGGGGCGCGCCCACCCTGCCTTTCGCTCTTCGGCCCAGGGCGGAGGCGCGAGGGCTGCTGTTTGGCCTGGGGGTGGGGGGCGGGGATGGTTCTCCACCCGCAGCGGCCGCGGCCCAGGACCCCCGCTCTGTCCCAGCCACAGTCCTCCAGGTGGAGGCGGCGGCTCGGTGGGGCCACCTGGGCGGCAGCGATCAAGGAGCGCGGAGGGACGGGCGGGGCGGCGCCCCGGGGTCGGCCGAAGGAGAAGTCGTCAAAATAATAAAGAAGATAATAAATGCCTCGTCTAGCGCCTCTTCTCCGAGACTCAAAGGGCTTGAACTTGTCAGGGCCCCCGAGTCCAGCCGAGCGGGAGTCCCCGGGGCTGCAGGCCGCGCGTCCCCTCGGACTGGAGACCCGCCGCGCCCCTCGCGCTGCTCTCCCCGACGCGAGGGGACAGCAGGGGACCCCGGCGAGCGCCCTGCGGCCCGCTCTCCGGGGCGGCGTTGGCGCGCCCACCCGTCCCGGGCGCTCCTCCCCGGGGAGCCGGCCGCCGCGCCGCGGAGCCCGGCACTCACTGTAGGCGCTGTTTTCCAGGCTGCCGTTGACGCGGCCGCTCGGGTGCAGCTGGAGGTGGTACTTGGTGGCGCAGTACAGTTTGCGGCGCCGGGGCGCTCCGCCGAGGTGCTCGTAGACGCCGCCGCGGCCGCCCGCATCGCGCCGCAGTCGCGCCCCGGGACCCGCGGCGGGCCAGCCGGGCTCCAGCAGGCTGAGCAGCAGGAGCCAGATCAGGCCCATCGTGGCATCGCGCCCGCCCCGCGGCGGCGGCGGCTGCAGGCGAGCGCGGCGCCCATGGAAGGGGCGGCGGCGGGGCCCAGGCGAGGCGCTCCGAGCCGGCTCCCGCGCCAGGCGGTGCCGACTCCCGCTCCGCGGCAAGTGGGGGAGGGGAGGGGAGGGGAGGGGCGGGAGGGAGCGGGGGGGGGGGGAGAAAGAAAGCGGGGGAGAGAGGAGGTAGAGAGAGAGAGAGAAAGAGAGAGAGGCACCTCCTTTAATTTTCACCCAGGATCGGGTGAAATTTCCGTTGCTGCGCAAAGCGCTGAAAGAAAAGACGGTTCGGCAACAAAAGGCCGACGTGGTCCCCAGGCGGGGGCGCGGGAGGGGCGGGGAGCCCGGCGGGGCGCGGGGTTCGGTCCGGGCGCCGCCCGCGCACACTCTGCCCCGGCGCAGCGCCGTCGAGCCGCGGCTCCGCTCCGCCGCGCGCCCCGCGCCCCCGCGCGCCCTCCCGGCTCTGAAAGGTCCCTTCCCGCCCCTCCCCCGCCCCCTCCCCCCAGGCCAATTATGTCTCCGAAAATTATAGACCGAGGCCTCGAGGCGGCCGCCCCAGGCCCTGTCACCCCCTCCCGCCCCCCATCAATCCCCCGGCACAATGGGAACGCCGCCGATGACTGATGTCCGCGAAAGCGACTTGCGGGGAAGTCGCGCTGACAAACGCCCATTAAAGGCGGTGCATAATGAAGGGGGCCGCGGAGGGCGGCGGAGGGGAGGGCCCGGGACGCGGGCGCGCGTGGGGGACCCCGGGGTTGGGTCTGTGCCCGGGGCTCCCTGTTGGAGCCAGGACGCTGTCCTCGAGGGGTGGCGGACCGGGCCGGGAGGCGCACCGCGACCCGGCAGATCCGGAAGGGCGAGGCTGGTGCACGTCGGGCGGGCCTCGGAGGGTCCTGTGTCCCAGCAGCCTGGCCAGAGAGGGGGCTGGGGGAAGTCGGGAGGGGTGCGGGAGAGCCAGAGAAAGGGGCACAGAGACAGACAACCCAAGAGAGCGGGAGACACTGGCTCGGAAGACAGGGAGAAAGAACAGGAGAGAGCAAGCAGGAAAGGGAGGGACAGACCAAGAAACAGAGACAGATGAGAGAGCCCGGGAATGATCTGAGAAAAGCCCAGGGGTCCGGTGACCACAGAGAAGGGAGAGGAATGAGGGGAGAAGTGGCGGAAGGGGGTGGATATTCCCCTCCGGGTCTGCGCAGTGGTGTAGACGCCCCTGGGTGGCCCCTGGAGGGGGTGGGGGCCCTATCCCCTAGGGACCGCAGTAAAGAAAAGCTGTGGGTATAGCGTGGGGAAAAGCCCCAAGCGCCGACCAGTCTCTTGCTCCCCAGGCCTCCACCTCCAGCAGTAGCAGATCCAAGCCCCCCAACCCGAAGCTAGTCACACAGAGATACGCAGGCTCAACTCCAGCAAAGGTGCTCACCCATGGGGGCCAGGGGTCTAGGCCACAGCCTTGGCTCCAAGCCTGGGATGAGCTGGGTGCGCTGGGATCCCTCGTTCTATCCATAGGCATCAGGATTTGGGACCTTGGTCCTTCCCGGGCGAGGAGTAGGTGTGCAGGGGACTGGGGAAGCCCTCCGAGCTGCAGGAACTAACACACCCCATTGGGACATTGCTTATACCCTAGCCTAACACAAGTAGAGCAGCACGTCCTCGGTGAGCCCACCTCAGCACACTCAGTGCCCCAGGGACCCTGGGGTGGGGGAGGGCACGAGACGTCACCCTTTGCCTCCATCCCTGAGGGCGTGGCTCTAGGCCAGCGTCTGTCTAGTCAGAGTCCACCAACACTCTAAAGACCAGGCCACTGATGGTTAGAGACCCAGACTCTGAATGAAGTTCCCTAAATGACAGAAGACCGAGGACAGCCTCCAGGCAGCCCCCAAGGACAGAGCCAAGATGGGAACTTACTCACTGGGGTTCCACCCCCAGACCTGGCCTGGGATTACACACTGTAGTCTTCAGTACGTAGTCTCTGAATGAGTGGACGGCTCGGCCACTTCCTAGCCACGGACCTTGGCCATGTAGCGCTGCCCCTCGGAGATGCCGGCTTCTTGTGCACGAGGTGCCTCCAATGTAGTCTAACTCAGTAGAATTAGCACCGCCGAGGTCCCTGCCCTCCGGACGGGCACAGAGCACGTCCCCGCAGGAGGGGACCATAGTTTCGCGTGCAGACCGTGATGGCTTTGAGGGCGAATCCAGAAGGACCGGCCGTCATGCTGGGACAGCAGGCACCCACGGCCCGAGGTCCCGTGCAGAGGACCTGGACGGCAACACGCGTTTTTGTCAGTGTGACTCCTCCAAAGCAACTGAGCTCCCGCGCAGGGTTCTCTCCTCGTCCCTGGACCCTGGCGTTGGCGTCCACCCTGCAGCCCGAGGGAGCTGGTCTGAAACCCACCGTTGTCTTCTCCCCCTGCACCGGCTTCTGCTAGTGCCTGCACCCGGGTCCACGGCTCGCAGCCTCTCTCCCTCCAGGCTCTAGCTTTTGCTCCCTCAACCTCTCCCCCTAGAGGGGAAGAGGTTCCTTCCTGCCTGCAGCGTTTCCTGGCCCAGGAAGCCCCCTGGGCCCCCACCTCGGGCCTGGGCCTGGCTGGACACTGCTGGGGTACCAGGCCCTGAGACCCCCGGGCCCGGCAGAGGGAGGGGTGCCTGGCTTCGTGGTGTCTTCCTGGCAGGGCAGGGGTCTCATGCGCAAAGTTGTGCTGGGGCGGGCTGGGCTGTGCTGGGAGGGCAGTGGGTGACACAGGGTGGTGACTTCCACCCGTCCCCCTCCAATACCGAACCAGGTGTGTGTGGGGGGGGTTATGTGGTGATAACGACCCTGTTAATTGCTTCCAAATGGTCACTGCTGCCAGTTGACTAATTGTCTCTTCCAGACCCCAGCATGGGCACCCCCGGGACTGGGAGCTGGTGGCGAGGCGGGGACTGGGACCAGGCCCCCGCCTCGCCACCAGCTCCCAGTCCCTGAGACCTCTGCTCTGGGTGCACTCCTCCCCCAGATCCCCTCCCAGCCCTCTCTGGTATCTGGGTCACCCCCTGGGATCCCACCCCAGGTCCAGAGAACAGTCCTCTGACGCGGTCCCTGCCTGCCAGTTGGGGCGACTATCAGCTGTGGTGCTGGTGGCAGGCCCTGACCTCACTCTAATGAGGCTTCCCGAGGGCAGTGGGGGAGGGACCTGGCCTGAGTGAGGCCGACTGAAGCCTGTGGGCCCTGGAAGCTCGAAGGTGGTCCCGCTCAGCCCCTCTCGGGGACATCACACAGCTGGGAGCCCAGGGGGAGAGACTGGGACCTCCCATCCCCCTGCAGGCTGCAGGGTCCAGGGCCTGAGCAGGGGTGGGAGGGTGGAGGCATCTTTGCTCTCAGTCTCCCCCTTTTGCTTCTGGCTAAGTTGGAAACCAGAGGGCAACGGGGGGAGACTCGAAGGTGAAAGTCTGCCACCAGCCAGCGCCGTTCTCTGCCTGGTCGACTCCGGGAAGAACCGCGGGCTGCCCTCCTCTCTCTAAAGGGCAGGGCTGGGTTCCATCGCCAGGCAGGAACCCACTCGGTTGGGGGGCACAGATCCCCAAATGTCCCGGGAATCCTGGGCTGGAGGGGTTGTGGGGTTCCTGGCCCCCCAGGGAGCTTGAACACTGCCTAGGCCACGTATGGGCACAGGACGCCCACTTCCCCATGTGCTCGCACAAACCTCAGGCTGGGTCCAGGTTCCGAATGGCGTCACAGGCCAGGAGCACCCCCTGTGCACAGCGGCACCCCAAGGAGGCAAGTGAGAGACCCAGAAGGGGATTTTGCAGGCTGGAGGCTTAGCGTTGCTACCACCCAAGCCGAGTCTTTCGAAAATTCTATTTATTTCTATATTTTTTTTAAATTTTTTTTTAAGATTTTATTTATTTGACAGAGATCACAAGTAGGCAGAGAGGCAGGCAGAGAGAGAGGAGGAAGCAGGCTCCGCGCTGAGGAGAGAGCCCAATGCGGGGCTCCATCCCAGGACCCTGGGACCATGACCTGAGCCGAAGGCAGAGACTTAACCCACTGAGCCACCCAGGCGCCCCTATTTATTTTTATGTTTTAACATTAAAGAGCTCTATTGAGATATAACTCACAAACCCTGCAATCCACCCATTTAAAGAATGACAACTCAGGGGCTTTTAGCTCGTGCACAGAGCTGGGCGTCCGTCTCCCCGGGTTTCCTGCTGGAGATCTTTCCCCTAAATAGACCCTTCTTGGGTCTGCCCACGTGCGCTTCTCAGAATGCTTCGAGACGCACCCTCGTGCGTCCGCGCTCATCCACGTGCCGTGCGTGTCGGTGCCTTGCTCTTTTTTAGGGCCGAGTGATGCTCCCTCCTGTGGCCCCCCAACCTTTGTCTGGCCATCCCCTTCATCAGTTGACGGGCTTCGGGGCTCCCTCCCGGAGCTTGCGCGGTCGTGAAGCCCCTGCCTGCAAGGAGGAAGAGGAATTCCCTTGGGATCAGTGAAGGTGGGCATACAGCTCGGGTCCTCCCTCATGACACCAAAGGCCACCTCGGGCCCGTGCACCCCTCCTGGCATGGGGCAGCTGGTGTGACCCCGAGCACGGCCTCCAGAGACGCTGGCCCGTGTCTATGACCTCTGTGGGCCCCGGCCTCCTGGTTTGCGAGAGGAGGGACGGGAACCCCCACTGTGCACACCGTTGAGCTTTGAACAATTCGGGGTTCCAAGGGCCCCGGGCCTTTGAAAATCCAAGCAGAACTTTGACTCCAATATTAAACTACCAACTGCCTACAGCTGACCAGAAGCCTTGCCGATAACACGGACAGTCCCCAGACAGAGAGTTTGCATGACACATGAGTCATGTACTGTACACGCCGCCAGTACAGCGAGCTGGAGGCAAGAAAATCATGAGGAGGAGAAAGTGCATCGACCGCGCGTGTAGTATTTAAGTATTGAAAACACGGACAAGTGGACCCCTGCAATCCAGAGCTGGGTTGTTTGAGGGTGTGGGGGT